ACCGCCACTACTTTCACTCGATGCTTTCTGTTTTGCTTCCGATTTTATTCAAGTCGAACTGCGCCGCTGCAGCTGTACCTCTGTCAGGCTCTGCAGAAGCTGCTGCGTCGGCTACAGTCGAGCAGCAGCAGCAGCAGCAGGAGCAGCAGTCTGCTGCTCTTTCAATCAGCGGGGCCTTTGAGGCACTGCCTCTTAGCGGCACGATGAGGCATATCGCGACGACTGCTGTCAAGAACGCCCCCACGCCGAACGTCCTGTCAGCAGACCGTGTTATTAGTTGCATATATTTTCTTCAACTGTGTTTCTGTTTCTATCTGTTCTCCTTTTCTTTGCAATAACCCTCAATCTCGCTCTGCACGAGTCCAGTTGCCTCTGTCCATTTGCCCTTGTAATATTGCAACCGTGTCTTTGCAGTTTTTTCTGGCTTCCGTCTTTCCAGCTGCTTTCTTCCCAATTCCCTTCTCTTGTTCTTCCTGCCCCATCTCTCAGTTTCTAGCTCACTGCTGCTCTCCGTGTGCCGCCTCGAAGCGCCTGCCAGAGTGCCTCTCAGTGTTGCGGCCTGCCTGCGGCTCCCTCTGTCACTCTAGCGGCTGTTTCCTCTTTAGTGCAACTCCTTGCTGCTGCACTTTGAGATTTTCTCCGTCTGCCTCGGGCTTAGAGCCCACAAACTCCGACTTCTTGTTCCGAGTCGGTCTGCTGCGTTCAGAGCTTCAATGCTTCTTGCGGAACAGCGAGTTGTTTCCCTTTCATACGCCAAGGGCTATGAACTTAGCCCTACAGGTAAAATGGGATAGCGAAGTCTCCAAGCTGCTCAAGGGAAAATGATTCCAGGCCTGGCTAGGCTCTGAGAGCAGGCAGCAGACAGTAATGGTAAAACCCGTGGCCGAGAGGTGGCCTTGTGTCTTTCTTATTACTGCTGGGGAGTGACGGATGGAGATTTAGAGGATTAGGTTTTGTGCTGCAGACGTATGCTTGCTGACAAACTTTGTAAGCTCTTCTTTGGCTTTGCGTCGGCTAGAGAGTTGGACTCCTCTGTGCCTTCCCAGCATTAACGACAGGCAAGTCGTGGGTTCTTCTTCTACTTGTTTCATTGTGTCTTGCTCGATCATTGCATAGCTTTGTATCTGCAGCTCCATCTCTGCATTTCATCTTTTGCAGTTCCTGTTGTTACGGATTGTCTGTTTCGTGGTTTTGTTTGTTTCCCTTCATCAGCGCAGCTGTATTAGTGTCTGCATGCCATTGTTCGCCTCTGCTGTCTGCTGCTGCTGCTTGCGGTATTTACTTGATGCTACCCTTGCTGCTGCTGCTACTTGCTGCTGCTGGCTGCCGCTGCCGCTTCTTGCTGGCACTGCTGCATGCTGCCGCTGCTTGTTGCTGCTGCTTCGTTCCTCTTCTTGCTGCTGGCCTGCACGCCCATCGCTTTGTTTCGCTCCTCAGTTTTTGCTGCATCATTGGGTCTTCCGTATCCCCGTTTGTGTCTTTGCATGAATATGCCAGGAAACATCAGGCCCCCTCTTTGCTTATGTCTTCGCTCCTACCTGCCTGCTCTTTGTTTTTGGTTCTTCTTCCTTGCTGTCTGTCTCCGAGTCAGTGCCTGTAGTGCTTCAGCTGTGTCTCTCCTTTGCCTACTGTTACTCCCTTTCTTGTCCAGTTTCTTTCGCGTTGCTTATTCGTGTTGCTTTTTTCTTCCGTTCCCGAATATGCATGCATTAACATGCCCTTATATTGCTCGTTGCATCTTTCACGTGCCCGCGAGGGCACTCATCGCTCACGTATCTGTCTGCCTTTCTCTGTGTGTAGTAGAGCTTACCTTCAAACTGTCACTCATCTTTTTTTGTGTCCTCCTTAGGGGGTTCCTACACGCCTACATTCGCTATTTGACTCCTCGTCTCGCGTTTGTCTGCCTTTCCTCCCCAGCGGACTCCATCAGATTCCACCAACTCGCGAACCACTGCAATAAATTATTCGCGGTACTTTCCCTAGAGAACGTAGCATTTAGGATTTATGCTCAGAGTTTTTGGCTTCGTGACGGGCAAAGGTTTGGGAACTTAGGGTTTATGGCTCATGCATGAAATCCATCAGTGCGTCGCCACAACTTCTTCGGCGTGCGGCTGTGGATCCTGCGCCGAAAGGCTTACGGCTTGGGGTTAGAAGCTTAGGATTTCTGTTGCAGATGCTGACAAACACCGGATGTCTTGCTGCCATAGAAACTTCCCTGGAGTATGCACCATACGCTCTGCGTAAGTTTAAACCCTGCGTCCTTACTTCTGGCCTCCGAGTCTTCGTGTGGGCTGTGGGTGAGGGGCTAGAGTGCTTTTTTGGCTTTGCTTACAGCGCGGTGCTTGTGGGGAGATATTTCGCTGCTGCACTGCGCACTGTTCGTGCCTTCTCTTTCTCAATACTTCTCGTCTGCATTTGGAGATGAGTACAAAACAGACGCTTCCAAGCAACAAAGGTTAGGATACCACCAAAGAATGAGCCTGAAATGACGAAGTTCCAACTCCTGTGGAAAAACCCTAAACCTCAGAGACATGCAGTCTTCTGGCACCAATCAAAACCCAGTGTAGCAGGCCGGAAGGCGGGGGCTGCTGATGAAGTTCGGTGCTGGGTTGTAGGGCCGGGGGTGCAGGGTCTGAGGCTCACTTGGCTTCTACTGTGTGCGTGATGAAGCGTCCTTTCTCTGTACGCGAGTGCCACTGAGTTAATTCAAAACGGAAAGCGTCCTGCCCACGCTTACGTTGAGACGACGGTGAGGCTGCAGGAAAGGCGGCTTAGGTTCTAGGGTGGAGCCGCGAAACTGCCACTGGAGAGGCCCTTAGCCGCAGCAAGCTCCGTCCCCTTGATCTTACTTACTTTGCCCGTGGCTGTGCGTATCGGATCAAGGTGGTAGCCCAGTGCTTAGTCTTTGTGTGCAGGACGAAAAGGTGTACGTTTGGCTAACGGCGGAGTTCTTCTTCTTTTGCTGCGTTCCAAGATGGATCAGTAAGATAGGCTGTAGCTGCTGCACTTAATGCAACCCTCCTGCAAATGCAGCTTGCTGCTGCCCTCTACTCTAAAGGCAGCAATATGAACGAAGCAGCAGCACACAGCAGCAATGGCAGCAGATAGCAAAGCCCCGTAGATGTCATCCTAGCTGTGGTTGGTGCGAGTGCGAGCCAAGCAGGTTATAGGGCTTCTGTTGTGACTGCAGACGTATCTACGGCGCTTGTGGAGCAACTGGCAAAGTGGATTCGCGAGCAGCAACCGTTCCTTTTCATAACTGATATCCCTCCTCTTGTCCACACCCCGCAGCAAAAGTGAGCACATGCAGCGGCGACACCCAAAACTGCTTCTGCTCTTCAGCGCGTAGATACTTGGTGCTCTGACCACAACAGCAGGAGCAGGAGCCCTGCACTGCGAAGGACAGCCAATATCTGCAGCAGCAGCGGCGAAGCAATGGGCAGCAGCAGTACCAGCATGCTGTGGCATTTCTGCATTCTTCCTGCCTATTTTCTCTCCTTTGCCTCGTTCGCTTTTTTTTGCTACATTAGCAGTTGCTGCGGCTGCAGTGCTGCAATATATGAGTTTCGTTTCGCGTTTGTCTCTTGTGCCCATATGAGCGCTTTACTCGAACCCTACAGGCCCAGCTGCCTGCAATAAAGGGTCTAGGATTTAGATGAGTTTCTTCATTTTTTTGTCTCCAAATGCGTCTTCAATTTCCCCCCTTCGGTTTGTAGCTCTTGTAAAGAGGAAGAATAGTCGCAGAAGCAGCGTACGCTTGTAGATAGAGAGGAGCGTTCTGTTTGGACAATGTACTGAGAACTTTCGTTTAAAGGTTAGGCGGCCTCGTGCGCAGTGGGTACTGTTGACTTTGCAACGAAACTCGTTGATTGCCTGACTTTTTGGCCTATGTGAGAACATGAGATCCCCGGAATAATAGGCAAAAGAAGGTCCTCCACGCTGTGCATCCCTGCAGCTGACCAGCAACTGACTTCTGCAAAAATTGCAGAAAGACTCTATCAACATATTAGGGCTGCCACTGCGATTGATTTGGGCGACCAAACACAAAAAAGATCCATTTGATGTACACCAGGAAAGCCGCAGCCTCGAGCTGAGACAGCGGCTGCTTCGTGTAAGCGTAAAGCAGCCTGTTTAGCTGCATTCAAGCTCATCCTTTTCCCAGACGCTAGGATTGGTGGGTGGCGTCGGCATGTCATCGGTATGTACGTTGCTGTCCGTGTAATCGCCTGCATTTCGCCTTTCTTCGTTACGGGAGTATGCAACTGAAACTGCCTCATGCCTCAATATGATGCAGCATGCAGTGGCCTTTGGAGCCGTTCGTGAATCGCTGCACTGAACACAACCTGAAAAAAAATTCACTGTTCTGGGCATTTCGAAGTTGGCGATGCAGCGCTCAAAGAGCGACCGAAGCTCAGCAACAACCCATTTCCCCTTTCCCTCTTTCTCTCTCTCTATACTTTGGACTATATTTATTACTGTTCGTGTTTTGAAAACCTATAGCTCTGCGTATTTTCGCGCCCCTGCGTGCTCGTTTCCTGTATGTCTTTCGCCACTGCTTCCCTCCTTTGCTACTTTAGGGCACGCTTCATTTGGGAGGTTCTCGCAGACAGCGAAATAGCCGCTACTGCTCCTGCTGTTGCGGTGCTGCTGCTAGTGCCTTTTTGTTAGGCATGCCTGTCCTGCACTTCACTCACAGCCCACAACTCCCATTTTAGGCCTGCCAGCTTTGTTACCCAACTGGTGGCTCAACGATCTGGGGCTTAAAACTTACTCCTGCGAGTGCATTGTGCACCGAAATTGCATCCAGATGCAAGTTAGCGTTGTAAGACCCTAAAGCTAGGCAGTTTGCGCTGCCGGCCCGCCCCTACGCCGTCTGCATGCATAGAGGAGGAGAACGCTGGGCAGCTTACGGCGAACTGCTCATCCTTATAACTGAGCGCTAAGCCAACGGCAGAGCAGCTCAATGTTGGAAACAACAAAGTGGACGTACTGTGAACAGGTGGAGTACTTCTACAGTTCCTTCAACATGGGAAAGAGCATCCAGGATGCAGTTGCGTGCACCGATTTCTAAATGACTCCTGTTTAAACAGGTACGAAATACGCTGATAGTAGCCAACAGCCTGAACTACAACTAACTGTTCGACAGCCGCTACTCAATGCGCATACAGCAAAGACCCTTGCTCCAGTCTACGTCTATCACCGTAATTCTGAGGGTACAGGCTTATCACTACACCGTACCCACGCAACACCTTCTACAATGCAACCTCCTCCTGAAGCGTGCTACGCAGCTGTTCTGACCAGGGCCCAACTTTGGACTTCAGAGTGACAATAAAACGTCTACGTCTTGAGTTTCCAGCGTTTAAGGTACACGCAGGAACAAGGAAGAAAATTCTGCTGTTGCTGCCAATGCAGCTGCCACAACTCATCAGTCGTATCAGCAGCAGTGGATATTGTCGATCGAGCAGAGACACAGCAGACCTCTAAGCTCCAGGCCTTCATACTTGGCACCAAACTTCAACAAATAAAGCAGCCAACGCGTTCCGTCCAACTCAAATTCATGACGTAGGGTCTTGTGCTTTGGAGGCTCGTAATTTCCGTTTTTCTTTGCTCGGCAAAATGCCGGTGCCAAATACATCTTCATTTGCGATTTTGCTCTTTGGCGCGTCCTTCAACACGGCTTCTTCGTACAGCTACGCAGGTCATGCATCAGCAACCACAAACCACAAATCCTACTAATAAAAGTTCAAATCTGGACTAGAGACCACGCGCGAACGCCGCAGCTCTGCGCAGGTCCTCGTTAAGTGCAGTACGGCACTGGGCTAAATGTGGTGTGTTGAAAAATCAATCGCTTGTTACCTTTCTCTTCTCCTTCTGTCCCTGCCGCCTCGCGAAAGCGATAGCAGCCTGAAGGCGTCGAGGCCTCAACAGCTGCATACAAACGGAATACACCCCTAATCTTCAAAATGGTATCATCAAACAAGCAGACCCGGGTACATTAAGCACGGGAACTCTATACGCTAAACGCCTGCTGCTGAAATCAGGAGCTCCTGTTGGTGCCTGCTTTTGCAAACAAGATCCCGGCTCGGCGCGCAAAAAGTGACGCTCAGTGCTTCACACGTTGAGTTTCGGTGGCTGACGTCTTCAACTTAGCAGGGTTCTTACGTCCAATGTTCTGACAAACTCGGTATTTCGCCAAAGGGTCTTGCCACAGAAGCTCCCTTCCAAGATCTTTACTGGGTCCAGCACGAAACGAGGTCCTGAGCCAGACCCTCAACGGCAAGCACTCACCTTCATGCACTATACAGTAGGCCCACATTCAAAACAAAAACGCTAAACCGTCTATTCACTGGAGCTTTTCGCATTTTTCCACTGTAATTAATGGCTCGCTGGGCTCCTAAACACTAAATGAAAAGCCCACAACGCTAGCACTGCATGCAGCTCCCTGCGCTCCAGGCCTAGATGCTAACGCGTTCGCTTTCCAAATTACACCCCAGGTCCACAGCCCTCAATTTTACCAATTTCAATAAAAGTCTGTCTGTGGGGATTGTTCGCATCCCCGCCCTCCCCCACTACCAATGGGGCAATCTGAACGGCCACAAATCACAGAACCCTGAACCCCAAATTCAAACCCTAGCTACCACAGAACCGCAAACACACAAGGAAACACGCCTGTGAAATTTAACTGGTGCATCATCCACCCTAAATCACAAAGGTAACATGCCTGGTAGTGCCTGAACCAGATGCGGTTGTCCGAGACAAAGAAAGACATCGCATGATCAAAGAAAGGCTTCGATTTAGGATGGTTCCTGGGAGTTCCAAACACCTAAGCGCAAGTTACAGACCGTCAACCCCTTCAAAAGTTTCTCTTTAACGTAAAGGGAAGCATGAGCCCCTTCGCCTGTACCGATGAGTAACCCCATTCTTAACTGCCACATCCCACCTGCACAAAGAGCTCCTTGAGGACTCGGTAATGAGGATCTCCATCGAATTCTGATCCGAATATTAGCAGAGGCCGAGAGTGCAGCAGACAGTTTCCCGACAGGCGGAGTTCGCTCAGAGTTTCCACTGAAGCGCAAAACCCCAAGCCCTACACCCCAAATACTAGGAAGCAAACGTGGATTACAAACTGGAAAACGTGGCGTAGAGTTTAGGAAACGAGTCTTAACGTGCAGCCAAAGGCAGCCCCGAAGTTACACCCTGGATTGCCGGATCCAACACCCTACCGTTCATCAACCTGCCAATGAAGGTGGGACCGAGAGGTACTTTAGCGACATGCAGCAGCGCGTCATTTTTCCGCTGTTCCAAATACAGCACACTATTGCACCTGCAGCAGCAGCAGCAGCAGCAAAAGCGGAGAAGCTCGCCATGTCACAGCATGAACAGCAGCGACAGCGCCACAAGCCTAAGACACGTTTGCAGACCATATAAACACTCGCACGCAGCAGCAGTCTGGCAAAACGGGCAGCAGCAACAGCAGCAGAAACGTACGACCGCAGCTGGCAGAGCTCGGCAATGCTTTGAAGCTTCTCCTTCTTCTCCCATTTCGTCTGCGACAGAACAAAACCCAGAGCCCAAACTAAATACGGGGACGCGAGCCAGCGCTTCCCGCGGGAGCGTTTGGAATAGTTGCTTCGACTTTTCTCCATAATGGACCCTAATTCTGTTGGCATTCCCTTCAATGGTGCCGAAACGCTCATTGTGTAGCTTCGCCCCAAGCCAGGGTTTGCGGGGTGCAGTCTGAGACTTGCCTCTGACTTGTGATGCGGAAGGAGCTTCTTCAAATCTTCTATGAGGTGCCGAGACCTCGCAGAAATGCCGCGGCTGCCCAGCACCAAAACGCGCTGACGATTCAGCCACCGTGTTTCTCTTCGAAGGTACTCCGCATCCTCCAGCAGGTACGGATCTGCTGCGGCAGCGGCGTCTATTGCTGCTGCGCTGTCAGCTGCATCGGCTGCTGCGTCATTCTCCGCCGATGGTGAGCCCTCAAGTGGAGCAGCTGCTGTTGTTTCTGTCTTTTCACTTTGGTCCAAGGAGTTACTTGCTGCGCCATCCCCCTTGCCTTCCATGTCGGTAGTTTGGTGCCTGTCTTGGGGGAACTGGTGTTGCTGCTGCTGCTGTCTACGTCGCTTTTTGCTTCCGTGCTCATCTTGCTGATGATGCACTCCAGCCGCCTGTGGCGGCTGCTGCTCCGGTTGCTGCTTTTCCTGCTGGAGCCGTGCCTGCTTCCTCGGTCTCTTCGGGAACGAAGTGGTCGCTGGTGCTCCACATTCTCCTTTGGCACTTGAAGCAGGCCGTTTCCG